ACAGTCCTTGAGATCTAGGAGAGTGTATAAATGTACAAGAAGGGAAAGGGTGTTGGCAAAACTTAAGCGGAAATTACACCAAGGGGAAGAAACGGCGTGCTGGAAGAACGAATTCATATCCTCGGTAGGAGAATTAAGTTCTTTCTTCTGTTGTTAATTTAAAATTCAACTTAATTTTATTTTTAACAAGTCGTCGGCTTTATTAACCATGGTAACCAAAGTCATCTTTTATCAGTTCACAAAAATGGGAAACAATGACGCACCAATTTATCGTCAGGTTGTTCCTCGCTGAAGGAGTTACTAAAATTCGATCCAACTCCAAACGGAGCATTGCACAGGTTTCCTGGAATCGATCCGGAAGGTTCACTCGTGGAAGCCTTGGATTGTATTGGTGAATTTCGGGGGATAGGTGCCTTGCACTTTGTTGTTTTTAATGGTGAAACCTACAGGAGGTTTAGACACTTGTTAAATCTTTGGGTGATGGCTCAGCACAAATCCTTTTTGAGGCTTTTTTATCTACCGTCGTTGGCTCTATCTATTTCTGGGCAAACTATCACTGCCACTTTTAGAAACTTAAAACAATCGCCAAATGTCTGCCGCAAAAGGGTTCCCATCCTCCTTCCTTAAGATAGGCTCAAATGTCGGGATAAAGTGTCTAGTTGCTCTTGACTATCTCTCTCTGTCAACTGTCAATTAGGCGTCTACCTAGTCCAGAAACGCTATACTTAGAGTCATCAAGAATCAAGACACGGGTAGAGCCAGCATTTATATCGAATGTCCGAGTAACCTATTCGACAATTATTTTACGTTTTTAAGACTCCGCTCCAGCACTCCTTCATTCAAATTGGTGTGGTCATGACCTGCGGAGTTAATATTCCTAGAATCCTGACATTACAGATTCAGAGGTCACTGTTTTAAATAATTTGTTGGAGCAAATTTATCCATTCATCCTGTTTCCACATTGTATCCATGCATCCATCCATCCAGCCACCCACCCATCCATAGGGTCCCTTTACCATCTCGTACAACGGGTTGCCTCCACCCCACCCACTTCATTTTTTAAGACAGAGAGATGGATGGATGAATGCGGGATGGGTGAGGGCAAAATGAGAACAGGACAGGGATTAGTAAATGGAAATGGAGCAGATCCGAAACGAGTAGGAGAATGAGTCGATGAATACAGGGTGATTAGATGGATGAATGGATGATTCCTTTCTTCCACTAGAGGTGATTTCAGCTCATCTACACTTTTGTTTCAGAGCAGGCCCCTCTTCTGCATGGGACATGCCCCACTTCCAAGATCAGATGATAAAAAATGTTTCTTTATTCAGACACATGTCAAGTGTACTCGCCAATTGTTTATTTTGGTTACATAGGTCAATGACAAATAGCCTCAGAAAAATCTACCATCTTTAAACGCTACTATCTACTGAAGCTTCATATTTTCTAATCAAATCAAACACAACCAAAAATAGTGCTTTTATTCCCATGGGAGGCACCATCATGTCCCTCTAATGACACAAGGGAGTATTCCTGTTTCGTGCTGACGTTCAATCATGCAAGTCTGTTGCATGGCCAAAAGCTAAACAGGAGGGGCCAGAAGGGGGGACGAAGAAGGGGGTAGAAGGATCTAAAAAACATCCATTAGAGAATTGCGTGACTACGCGAGAGCAATTAGTGCACTAGAGGACCAAATCCATGTAAGAAGACATGAACCTGCTAGTGAGGATAGGAAAGTAGAAGATGTGAACTCAAGGTCAAGCGGGGTTATCAAAACAGTCAATTTGTGTCATGAGTTAAATCCGCAAGGTCAATATATTTTGATATTCTGGCTATTTGAGTGGCTTGGAAAATAGGTCATTTTTCTTTTTGATTATCAGATGGCCGAACTAAACCATGCGGTTTTTAAATAGCTCGTTGAAGTCACTAGTTGCGACATGTAAAGACGCATAAAGGTGACTACTTATAGGGCACTTTGAAGTATAGATATGCCTAAATCTATCCGTATGGTATTCCTTCTCGTACTCTGTACTGAGTAACATCTGGAGAAGATAGCAGACCATTTGGTCTTCGATTCTAATGCCATACCACTCAGATATGGAGTATATTCAACAAGACTATCCAACATTGGTAGTTTCGAGATATTACGTATCACTAATAATGAATTAAGAAGGAGCTTTAGTGATGTCGATCATGGACGCTGAAACAACTGCTTTACATCTACAAAGAAAGTCGTGGAAGCCATTGAGCCAATGGGTCCAAACAAAGGGTAGTGGATAATAAAAAATGTCTAAGACTACAAAATTCTTCCTCACTGCGTCTAAATTGTTGATTGACTGGCTGCGTGACCTACTAACATGTGATGCGAAATGGTTTTCATATTTCACCATTTGTGAAACGAATAAGCACACCGAAAAATCATCAAATTGCAAAAGTACGCTTCTAAGAAAAAAGGTGACGTTATCTGTCAGTGTTTCTAGATTGACAATAATTTTATCCGTTGTTACTTTGGACCTATTTTTGACAGCTTCTTCTTGTCCAGTTCAGGCTCACATTTAAGAATACGACTTTATTCATGTGAGTAATACTTATTAGATAATCAAAAAACGATAAGAAAGTGTCCCTTTGAGAAAAATTACTTATCTGCTTATTTTATGCGGTGGTTTAAGTACCTCGCCCACTCGATTCCATCCTTTTTAAAAAGGAAAACGGTATACAATGTGAAATGGGAGAATCCCTTGCATTCAAATGGTTCATAAAAAAATTCATTACTCAATGCACGTATCTATTGTTTTGCTACGGCTAAGTGAAAAAAGTACTTTTCTCGGCTTAGAAAAAGTAGAAATGTAGCATGGGAGAGGTATTCAAATAAATGTGTGCTGTTCTTCTGGTAAAATGGGAAAAAAATTTGAGTGAATTCTGAAAGTCTCTTAAGACATGCCCTTCGATGAAATGATCATCCAAGCAGTCTAGGCGCCTTTACAGCTAGAATAAAGTTTCTTAGTCCCCCAACTAGTCTACCAAAGTCGTCTAGGGGTGGAGTGATCCCATAAACATGTGAGGCGAGTAGTCAGTTGAGAGAGGGGTGGGTAGCCAAGGCCACTTCTAGGGTCAAGGTGGTCAGTCAATCATTTAATCAGTCAATTGATAAAGTAAATCCAACTGTGTACGACACGACTTGCTACTTCCTCAAACTTTATCAACTCCCGTCTGACAGTTATTGACGTGGATGGGACAAATTTGTCCAGTAACTTCCACTGCTAATCACTGGTAAACTGAACTTCTTTTAGCTGGCATTGACACGCATTTTTCCCTGCTTTCACGAATAAAGGGCCTTCTTGAGGTGATGATTTGGGTGCCTCCTCAAAAAACTATGCACCAAACTTTGAGAAAATTTTCTACAGTCTGCCAACTGAGAAGTGGATTTAAATACGACCGTGGAATGCATCTTATAACCGCCTACAAGTTGCAAGGTGACATTGCAGCAGGCTACACCAAAAAAGGGTATCAATTTTTCCGGTCATCCGATACAATTTTTTGCATCTCATATCCACCTTACATTATGATGAAGTGATTCCACTTTTAATTAGACGGAGCATACTTTAAATAATTAGCAAAATTTAAGAATTTGCAAAAAATGTGAAGCATATTTTGCGCTATCCACAGACTTGCGTCTCAAATCAAACAGCAGTGATAAGTGAGAAGAAGTAATGGAGAATCATAACGACACTACAAAATATCCCATTTAAATCTAGCAAAATTCTTCTTGCTAATATTACAGGCAAAGTGTCTTTCAAGAATCTGTAAGAAATTTAACTTAAAATAGGAATTTATTCGCAAGTAATCTTCCTCGTTTTGGGTAATTTGTCACCTATGAAATCTCTAGGTCACACACGTGTTTCGTCAACCTACATTAAGGTAATCGCAAGAAATCATGTGGTTTTCGACATAACTTGTCAATAATGACTTGTTATAAACCCTGAGAAGACTTGTTCGTTTGTACACCTTATAAGATATGGAAATGTGTGACCCTATCAATACGGTGGTCTTTATTTGCATTCTCGACAATGTTTTCGCCTTTTTAAGAAGCTCATCAGATAATAATATCGCTTTGATGACGACAACGGATATGCTATGAACCCGTTTTCGTTAAGTAACAAATAAGCCTGCTTCTAAAGATGTAAAAGCCTATCAGCACATTTTGGGGTAGCCGAGATAGCAGAATATTGCCGTCCTGAATTGGGTTAAACAATGTGCTCCTGTCGACGATAAAACTATGCAGGAGAAGAGGGTCCTCATCTTTTAATAAAAGGAGCATATTTTGTCATTGATGTAATAATTTGAGATTATGGTGTCAGAAGCTTTCAGTGGCGTGAGGCACAAATGATAAAATGATCAATTTTCACAGTTTAAGCCAACTAGGGAAAAAGTCGTGGAATTTACCCGTTAAGTGGGACCCACTTACATACCCAAACAGCAGATGTCAGAATACAACCCCCGAAGATTATCAATTTGCTCTTCGCTGTCTTCTTTGCCTCACATACTTTAAAGGACACTATGATTTGTAAATTATTTGCTAACGAAAGAGCACTTAGTTGGTTCTTCTCAAATGGTCTATTCACTAGCACTAGTGACCCTGTACCTATAGGATACCACTTTATCTTATGCTATTTGGACTAAACAATGCAAGGCTTCATACCGCACCGAGAACCTTAATGCACTTTACAAAGAGAAGGAAGAAGGGAGGGGATTACTACTTCTTTTTGATGCCAGTATTACACAATCACGTAATCACATGTATTGTAGAACAGACAGGTGGCAGGTAAAAGGGTTGTAATAACGAAAGTAAGTGGGCTGAGACGCCTTGTTTTTCAAAACAAAACTTCAAAAAAGAAGAAATTCGGAAACTTGAGTTTCTTTGGAAAAGGATAAAAAATTCCTTATGTGATTACTTCAATCAACAAAGTACTTTTAATAAATCTTATAAGTTATCTTATTTTTGGCAATAAAAACTCCTTGGTAGTGGGACACTTTGTCAACAGATTATTTCTTCAAAACGGAAAGTTTGATTGAACCTCATTCTGCTCATGTGTGGTTGAAAATTTACCGGCAATCTGGACATAAATACAACCAGTTGTAATTCTTATTTCATAATATTTTAGTAGATAATTTTGGAAACCCAGATCAAGGAAAAATCTTTCTCAACTATGGAGTAGAGGAGGAGAAATTTTGTGATAAATCAGAAAAACCTCGGCAATTTGTGCGCTAATGAGTGAATTAAAATCAAGTGGATCTCAGCAGACGGATATAGCATCTAATTTGCTTAAGAACAAGCAAAACAATCAATTAATTCTTATCTCTAAAACCATCAGTTTTGCCTTGAAATATAGGAAACATAGACTCAAATTACCAACAGGTCAATTGAGCACTTAAATCTGCTTTAGAAATAAACCAAAATATCCTAAGCAGTCTTAAGACTAAACAAAATTACAGGTATCCTCCAAAAAGTTTAAAAAATTGTTAATCCAAATCAAAAGTGATAAATTGTTCAAGAAAGTAGTTACCCTATTTTTCAAAAATTTCTAGGCCTTGTTGCCAATTTTTGCAATTTACCACAGTTTTAAAGACTTATAAAACAAAATATGATCAATGTTTAAGCAAAATTATGGCCTACCTGTTGAGTTTTGGTAAAAATGGGTGGCTTGAATTTATTCTTATCACCAATAATTCGCCAGAACGACCCTCTGCCAGGTTCATTTGGTCGCCTTGCTATTTTCCGAAATGATCGATTAAGTGAGAGGTTGTGTCGTATCGAGTTCTAGACTTAAGCATCATTTGAAGCGGCCACTTACCTTCCATCCGTTTTGGCCATCGCGGTAGTAAGGAAAATTCCTGCAGATCCATTCATAAATTTCATTTAGGGTCATTTTATGCTGAGGAGAAGACTCTATTGCCTTTTTGATCAATTCGGCGTAACTGTAAGGAGGTTTATCTGGGTGGGTGGGTTCGGATTTTATGTTCCCACGCATATAGTCCCTCGTTTCCGATTGGGAAACTTGATCAAACAAAAAGGCATTAATTTTTAGTCCCGAAAGTAGGTCAATTGCGGGATTAACGAGCCAATCCATTGCTGTCAGGCTGTCGTCGATTTCAGTCATTTTGCCGTCACGTTTAAAATCGTTCAAACGTGCGACCGCGTCAAGCAGCTTAAACAAACCACAGTCTAATTTACGATCCTGAAATGCAGCAAAATCACTGCATATTCTAGAGCTTTTAGACTTCAGCATAAAAATCTAACACATAAAACGATGCTAATCTGCTGACTTTATTTTCGAAGAAATTTAGATGTAAGAATACGAAAATATTTTCTAAGTAAGGCTATAAGAAGAAAATCCGTCATTGACCATGTAAAAAACGCTTGCCTTAAACATGTTCTAACCATAAACATTGGAGTTGTTGTATTTTTTGTAACTATATCTTGCAAATCTAATCTTCAAGTTATAAAGAGATTGCCTATCTATTAAATGAATGCGAAATTCGTTGAATAAAACTAAACAAGGATCCCTAAACATTGAAGAAATACTCTTACAAAGTGTTGCCTGTTGGTGATCATTTGCTGTTTGGATTTCAAAACCCATTCCGTTTACCATTTATTGCGTATCATGTGGCATCTAATGATCAATATAACTCTGTTTCGTAACTAGTGCTGTTTTGCACTTTGAATAATGCCAATCTTGTAAGCACAGCTTTGCTAAATTCGAGACGACTTGTAGCGCACTGACTCTTTTCTGACGTCGAAGAAGTCATAGCACTGGGACAGACAATGCGTATTAGACGTACAAAAGGGCTGAGGAACTACTGGCATGATCCGGAGGCCTGTTTGACCAACAAATGTACAATAAATCCCCAAGTGCATGTATAGTGAAAACCTGTGAGTTAACAAGCAATCAAAGCATTACAGCTCATCTAAAGCCTACACATTTCCCATACTGTACACATTCCATCAGCGCGTTTGTAATGTTCCCGTCGTTCGTCCCCTCTATCTACAGTTTGGGATGACTAGAGGGAAGCACTTTTTTCTGTGTAATATGGTGGTTGTACAAATGCGCAACGATTTGCGGGAAGGAAATCAGTGCATGTCCTCTCCATTGGAATTATGGACATCCGCTTACCTACAAGTTTAATGTAACCTCCATTTACTGTAATGTCGCAGTCTAGTACAATAGTTTAGCGTGTATTAGGAGACCACTGGTCTTTCACTAGTTTCCATTCATTCATCTGCGTCACTATAGGATTTTTGCAGCAAGGATATGTAATACATCTTTATACTTCGTCAAACGTCTTAAGCGCTTTTCTTTTATAAATTGATTACTCGTTTATTTGAGACTTCCTGTCAATACCAGTATATTTGCAGAACGTAAAACGGAGCTAGCTACTGAACGGTGAAAATGAATTTCCGAGACCTCTCGCCTGTAAATCAACCCACCGCAGACGCAGATTTAGAAGCAGTTTTTTGAAAACTTTTATTACTTTTACTACCGAAATAATAGGCGTCAAACGTTGTAAACCACCTGGGATCCTTAAAAAGACAAATATTTGAGCATACTTGAAGCTGAAAAATAGTGACTCCGAAAGGGCACAAAAAATGCAACGGCCCTTACTAACCTACAAGTACGTTCCAATGAATGAAAGTGTAAAGCTCTGTGAGCTCACCAAGGTGGGATATTTGACTGAACTTCGCTCCGCCTCCACTACCCGACTTGAGGAGGCTAGCAGCGTTGGCAGAGGCCACGGTGTCAGTTGTGCCGGTGAATAATGCCACAGCATGAGTAATCGCTCGTGGGGACCTCAATTACATCCCATGGGACGAAACGAGGATGTGTTCGCCCTCCCGCAGACGAGTACAATGAAAGACAGGTGGGCGCGCCCGAATCCGTCCCAATTACCAGTCCACCGTGGGGATCCCCTCGCTTATCTAATCATGTGATTCGACTCCTTCGCCCACCCTCTATTGCCCAGACGACCTCGTACCAGCTTAAAGAGGGACCGCGTGGACTAGTTTCGTCTGGATCATTGCTAGCAAAAAATGTTGGTGCTTTGTAATTTTACTTCGGCCAAAATCAAATATCGAGTTGGTGAATAGGATGAGCGGGTAGCAAATCCTTTGTTTTACCCCACGTTATAAGAGTTAAGTCATTGCAAAGTAGGCAAAATAAATGTTAAAAAGAAAAAATTCCGTCCCAATTTAAAAATAGCCTATAAAAGGAGAAAATTTGTTAAGATATTATTTTTATGTCATCATCAATGAATTTTTTTAAAAAAGCGGTTTAGGATCGCAATAAATGGCAAACAATAATTAAAAAGGGCAGAAATTGGCCAACAAAGCAAAAGCTAGATGGGCTAAGGTAGTTAAAGATAGATTTGTTTTCATAAGTCTCTAGGCTACTTTTAAGCTTAGAATTTTGGTAAAATTCAATAAAATGGATGGATGGATACGGGATGGATGGATGGATGGATACGGGATGGAT